TGCTGAACACCATTGGTTAGAAGCACTGTCAAAAAAGCTTTTTAACCATGCCAATAAAGCTACTTGAATCTGAATTTGCCAGTCGCTGCTTGCGATGCAGATTTTTTCAAAAAGGAGGAAGATACATAACTCGACCACAGACCGTCTCTGTTCTATTTATTCTGATAACTTTTGTGTGACTGATCACGCTGTAGCTAGTATGAGTAACAAAATGCTTTCTCTGTGTCCAGATTTAACTGCAATAATAATAACTGACACTTCAAATCAACATTTAAATGTCAACTTTTATTAAATGTAGTCTTTAATAATGTCTGAAAATATATCCAAATTAATAACTTAGTACAAGTAATGTGCTTTATGTCTTAAGTTCTCACTCTGCAGCAAGCCGTTTGTATGTATTTATATATAGGACTATACAGCCATCTAGTGGTTACACCGTGGTGCATAATTTAGAGGTTAATATCTAGAAAAATCCCCTTACAAATAATAAAAAAATATAAAAAAAAAATAGTATTGAACTTAAATCACAAAAGCACAAATATATATTCTTTCTCATTTATCTCTGTCTTAATTTGTATGTTCATCTATAAGTGTTTGGGCTGTTTAACCGTGGCCCCGGCCTGCAACATCAAGCCCCACCCCCCAGCACCCTCCAGCACCCCCAAGATATAATATGTTCCCGCGGCTATGATCTTGGATGGGCTGAGGGTGAGTAAATTTTCAGCAAATTTTAATTTGTGTGTGAACTATTCCTTTAACTTTCATGTAAGCAAAAAAAAAAAAGAAAAGGGATTTTAAACCATTTAAAAAACTGGACATTTTACACGCTCAGAGAACATTCAGAAATAATGTTTTTATAACTTAATGGGAACATTAGAAAAAAGTGATCTTAGAACTTAGAATCAGTTTTGTTAGCTAGGATGGTCCTGAGATAGGTTTTAAAAATATTAACCATTTTAATCTTCACACACTATATTAAAACCTAATTGTACAAATTGAATAGTTAATTTACATGAATGCTAGGCTATTCATACAGAGTGGGTGATGTAAATGTAATCCATTTTTCATAAATGTCATCATTGCTTAGCATGCTTTACGCACACAGCCAGATACTTCTAACCACACATACTCTGTACCCTCAGTTTTTTTGCACTAATTAGTTGGTCCACAAGGTGGCAACACTGGGCCATTGTTTCAGTCGAAAAAGAAAATGAGGAGATGGAGCTAGAAGACGATCCTATAAACGCAACAACAACAAATGCCCACGTTGATAAGTGGGGTTAAAAGATACTCGCAACTCTATTTTTTCTCTATTCTATATTTTTTAATCGGTCATAACTTCTGAATAGAAATAGCGTAGATATTGGACAAGGATGAAGCTTTAGTATGCATGTGTCGATCGACTATGTGTTCACGTACATTATCAAATGGAATGTAGTTTGAATGGCTGTGCATTCAGCTCTACATTTTAAAATGAGGCTGCTGCTTGAGGTGCCACGATGGAGCAGTGCAAGCCAAATGTTTGTCAGTGTTGGCGTGCCAACCTGCTCTGCTGTGCTGCGTAATATCATCTACAGGTGTATGTGTAGGTTATCAGACTCTGCAAACAGTATCATTTCAACGCTGACGAACCCAGCACTAAGTATAGTCATTATGTGGAACCATTGGTGTTTTAGCCTGTATGTAAATATGTGATATTGTGGATTCTGTATGTCTTTATTATTTGTCTGCTTATTTGTTTGTGTTTTTGGACTGTGTGTGTCCTTAATAACGTTTTGATTGATTGATCGATTGATTGATATGCATATGCTAGTCTTCACATCAAAACTTTTATATATAGAATTAAAAAAAAAGCAAATTATTAATGTTAAATGCAGTGGAATTATGAAATGACATGACAAGAAATGTCGACATTTACATGTTCGTGATAGCTTAGAACTTAGGTTCTCTGCTGTTTACATCAAGTCTGTTTTATCCGGTATTAACACCTGGCCTGTTTTTAGCAAAAAAAAAAAAAAAAGATAATGAATTTGCATTTCAAATAGCATATGGCTGATACAGTTTAGGTGAAACCCACACACGTTGGAAACTGGCACTCCAATTAGCTTAAACATCTGGCAAGATCTATGTTCCACAGTAGAGTTTGTTTTTATCACTTAGACAAGAGAATCAAATGGATTAAAACAGACAATTTTTGAAGAAAAATCATGACTGCAGTCAAAAGGACCATATTTTCAGTGATTCAGGACATTTTAAAATTTGAGCATTTGTTGAAGATCCAAGTTCATATTTGTTGATGTAAAAGCTGTTTCCAGTTTGCTTAAAGTAGTCTTGAATATGTTTTTGGTGGAGTCAAGTATGTTTAAAAATAATTTGATTTAAAGGAATAGATCAGGCCATTTGGAGAAACTTAGCATTACTTAACTTGCTCACCAATGGATCCTCTGCAGTGAATGGGTGCCGTCAGAATGAGAGTCCAAACAGCTGATAAAAACATTCACAGTAACCCACAAGTAATCCATACCACTCCAGTCCAGCAGTTAATGACTTGTGAAGTGAAAAACTGCATGTTTGTAAGAAACAAACCATCGCTTCTGGACAAAATTTGCGTCCATAATCCATAAAAACGCTTTCTCCAGTGAAAAAGTCTGTCCCCTCTTGTCCTCTCACATCAAAATCCATCCACATATTTGTTTAGAACTGTTTTGGTCAATTTGTCCTTGTAAACTGTGCTTGATCTGTGTATATTTCTCTCCTGATTCAGACCAGACAGTGAAGAAAGCAATATTATGGACAGAGGACTCCCATCTGAATTTATACCTAGCTATAATGGTAAACAACTGCTGGTGATACTCACGCTGATAAGGAAAATGTATCGCAATTCACTTCTGGTCGATACGAAGCAGAGATTTATGACAAAAAATCAAGCAATTGTCAGGCAATTTTCTAAAAAAAGCTTCTGAGCAGGGTACTGTTTTCATTTAGTGGCAATAGATGTAATTGTGAAATATTGTCCAACAAGATATCTGTCACCGTAATAACAGGTTATTATTTTCTAATGGTTATTGTGACCTTCAGCATGTCCGAACCTCTGCCAGAATGGGTTTTTTTGTCACTGTCTGGGGTCATTGATGTCTATTGATCTGAATCCCTCAAGGCTTTCGGCTGACCCTGACAAGATGACTGTCATAACCTTTCATTTGATGTCATCGGGATGTTGCGAAAGTGTAAAACCTCTTTAACTGGCAAATCCATCTTGACAAGGTTTAGGAAACAGGCATGCAATGTCTTTTACAATGGAATCCCAGATTTGGTTTGGTTTCCATTTATTCCAAGGATGTCTAGTTAACCATTAGCATCTCAATTTCTGAGATGTAAAGTCAAAGGCAGCAGAAATGAAAAGTAACGTCCTACAGGTTAGGGCTTTTTCTCTAAGGACGTCTTCAAGATGTCAGTCAATCGTCCTGCAAGTAAATAAATATCATCTAAATAATGAGATCCACTCATCACAGATTGAAATCAAGTCCCAGATGTCATTTTTTTCAGGCTCACCGAAAATATCTAATGGCACTTTTGGAAGGGCTGAAATTTTCCCAAGCTAGTTTTCCTGTTCTGTCAGGCACTATTAGAGTCACCTGTTCCTTCCTCATAGGAGTAGGGCCATTTATGATTAAGCTGTCTCAAAAATACACATATTTGAGTTAGCCATGGTTGATGGGACAGAAAAGCCTACTAAGCCAGCTGTAGTATGTTTAATGAAAGCAGTTGTAGTGGGAAGACAGACTATAAGAGTGTTCCTGAGGAAGCAGGACTGAGATCTAAGGGTGGGTGTCAGATCTGGACGACAGCAGAGCTAATTGGAGAAAAATTGCTAAGAATATTGCATGAACTCCATTGGCGTCCCATGAGATCCTCCACCGGTGGATTGGGGAATAGTGGGTCTTAATAGAACTGTCACGGCTTTTCCTCACAGTTTAAGGTGAGCCTAATGTCTGACCACTGTCGTTATTAAGACATTTTTTTAAGTAAAGGTATGCTTAGACCTCGGTCAGACCCTGAAAAGCTTGATTTTATGTGTGTGGAATAAATTTCCCATCGATACCAAATGAATAACCTTGACTCTAAAATTTCCTACAGATTTGTCACAACAATGACTCTATTAATCTATGTCTGTCAGCGCTGAAGCTAGTCTGTGTGCTAATCTACTCCTAAACGTTGACAAAATTCACTTTTAGATTATGTGTGCTTTTAAAAATCACTTTTTTGGGGAAAACAAAGCAAAAATATTGACAACTCATCCTGTGGTAGACAATTTTTTTGTCCAATCAAATGCAAATGTGAAATTCCCTGCAACTGACTAGCAGTTATCAAACTGCAAACAGCCTTATTTCTATTTTAGAAAAAGAACACAAGTCATTCCTTCCTGTTTCAGTAGAAAATTTCAACACTTAAAGACTTAAACTATAAAACTGTAGCTTTCATGCTACAAGCTAATTGCAAAAAAGTAGTTAGCTATACTACAAGCTGCTCACAAAAGTAGCTTAAATCGCTACAGTGTGGCTGTTACCAAGAGAGCAAATACCAATTTAAGCATTTTTTAACCTTTTAAAATATTTATTTATTTATTTTTACTCCCCAACACTGCCTTTGAGCAATAACTGCAAATAAATCTCTTTAAACCGCTAAGTTGAAGATAGCAAAACTGAGACAACATCAGAGACCAAAGTAAGATAAGCACCTAGAATTTCAGGCATTACTCTTTACAGCGTTAAAGATAGCGGCCAAAACATGCCAAGATTTGTCAAATGAAAGATTGTTCCTAAAGTGTGTGCTAGCTTCAAATGTTTGTTTTGTTGCTCTTCCTCACATATTTCTTCAAAAGCTTCCAGAGCTGACTCCATTTATTTGTGTTTATGTTCTCCTATGAGAGCATTTAGGCACACGTTTCGCTTCAAAATCTTTGCTCTACTTTGCCTTTTTGTTTTGTTTCTTCCTTCCAGGGCAAGAGCGAATAGGAACAGACTCCAAATATGAGCAGGAAGGGAAGGTGCAGTTTGTGATAGACGCGGTGTACGCTATGGCTCATGCCCTGCACAACATGCAGAAGGACCTTTGTCCTGACCAGTCGGGCGTTTGTGGAGAGATGGAGCACGCTGGTGGCAAGAAGCTCCTCAAGTACATCCGATCGGTCAGCTTCAACGGTGAGTCCACCAAAGCTTACGACATCAGATAAATGCCACAATGAGTCAAAGATATCTTACTAATATTAATTTGGTTATATTTTATTTTAAGGTGATGTTATTACAGTGTAATTACACGGTAATTACTCAGTAATAGTAATTAACTACATGTGCGTACTATTAGGTTAGGATTTGGGTTTATTTTAGGATTAGATGCTTGTAATTATGCATAATTTACTGTTAATACTATGGTAAGTGCATGTAATGTATAACTATGTAATGTTAAAATACAGTGTCACGATTACTTCATTCAAAAATACATAAAAAAATGCAATTCATAGATACAATGGCTTGAATGCATGTCTTCTATGATAACACTACTACTTTTTAGCATGTTTTTAATTTGTGAATTAAAATTTATTTTTATGTTTTTGGCCATGAAAGTAAAAAGAAAAATATTTAATTAAACATTATAAAAAAAATTATGCAAAATGTCATGTGGTGCAACCAGGGGGAAAAAAAACAAAAAAACAACAACAACGAAAAACGTGATATCATGGAGAGGACATTTCTAGACCCTCATGTTAAAATATTAATAATTTACCTTTTTATGACAAGGTAAGGTTAGTTCAAGTCATAAAATGCCATGTGGTGCAACTGCCTAAAAATGTAAAGATATATGTTATTTATCTATTACTTATTACTTTGAAAAATATATTTAAAAAATATTTATAAAAATAATGATTACATGCTTTCAAAGTGTAATGAAACAAATACTTTATGGTTACACCACATTACATTTTAGACTCATTTATAGTTTATATACTATTATAGCTTGTTAGTAATATCTTGAATTAGTTTTTATTTTTTTACATTTTCATTGTAATTATAGTTTTAATTATTTGAATTGCTTTTGCCATTTTTATTAATTTATTTTTACTATTTTTAAAACATTTTTGTCTATATAGTTTTTATTGATTTTTAAATCAGTTTTAGTAAAAAAAAATTATTTTATATTTTATTTTATTAGAATTTTATTTAATGTTCATTTTATTTAAAGCAATGGAAATGTTTATTTATGGTTTATTTATCAAAACCATGGGAAACCATAATGAATACATAAATCACATTTCTAAGATCTTGACATGTTTTAAATTAGATTTAAAAAAAATTTCTCTCTGTCTCTTTTATATATACTTTGGGTATTAGCATTTTGTAACTACACTGAAAAAAAAAACTGGTGGTAAAACAATTTTCACTCAAAATTGCTAGTAAATTGCAAGTAACAAAGAAATCGCAAGTAACACGTTAAGTTAAACTTTAGAAATTTTGAAGTAGAAAAACTGAAATACAATTTTTTCTCATATA